CAGTTACCATCTCAGTGGCCCTCCAAGCACTGGGAGGCTAGGTGGCTGTTCCTCTTGTCTTCTCTCCTCTGCTCAGTGCTCCAGAGAAATGGAAATGGCATGTGCTACAGCCGGGTTTGTGTCCGCCTATTTGCACTTTCAAGGAGAATGGAATCAAAAAAATATCATGAAGTTGGTTTTCTGATTTACTACCTGAAAGCCTTTATATGTTGGGCTAACAGACTAGAGGAAGATAGGAGACAGATCATAAAAGTCACTTTTTTTATAGTGTCTAGAACATTTTAATACTAAAATGAAATTTTAAATGAAGTCTAAGACCTTTGGTAAATGTGTATTTTTCAAAACCTAATAACACTTCTCTAAATAAACAGTCATAGTGCACATTGTATCTTCACATTATGACTATTTAAATGGGAAAATATATGCATATATGAGTTCACATGATGGTGATATTATTTCACACTTCTCTCTTCCTATTTAATTACACAAACTAGTTTTGAAATCTGTAATGATTGTGTAAGCAATGCGTAATAGCTAAACAAAAAATAATGTGAACTTTTGATTAATTCATTTCTATACAAATTGGGGGTGGGGGTTCGGGCTAAATGGAGGTAAAAAGGGCCATAAAATTCAGTTCCAAGTTTTTTTTCTCTAACTCTATGACCTTCAATAAATTTGTTTTTTATTCTGTAAGATGCAGGCGAAATCTGCCCCCTACCTATCTTTTGGAGCTGCTGCAAGATTTATTAAACAAGGGGGAAAAACTGTTCAGAGTTCTGATGAAACAAGAGTTACATAAATGCAAGGCAGTATTGTTATCTCTCAGAGGTGCATGAAGTTGAATTAACGTTTACAGCATCCGTATGGCATAGGCTGATAATCTTGGACTTATTTTTACTGATGAGAGGGCTTAAGCCCTTCTCCAAAGCCACAGAGAGCAGGTGAAAGAGAAGAGGTACAATTACTGGATTCAGACCTAGGCTGGTATTTGTTGGCAATTGAAAGTACTTTTAAGGGAAGTTTTAAAAACAATCTTATCACCCCTTTGGCAGGCAATTCGAGGAGTCTGCATATGATTCTCTCCAGTTTTCTTTCTGTGTTTTTTCATGAAATTTATCTGATATGTAAGACACCTGGTGTCAATAGTATCCAAGAGGAGCCAAGTATTTTGAGAGTGTTAGAAGACATTGTTTCAACAATGAGACAAATATTGTGATTTAGTGCAGCCAAGGCCAAGGTATCCATCAGGTACGGAGAGAACAAGGAAAAGGGGAAGAAGGAAAGCCACTGTGACAGATAGTGTAGTTTGTGAAGTTATATATGCAGCAAATACACCACTCTCTTTAACATTACCTTCCACCAAGTAAAAGTAAATACAAATTGTAAAAATACACATTTTCCCTTTAGCCTAACCAAACTGGCTCACTTGTTTCCAAAGTTGCTTGTTCAACATTCCTTAAAATGATTCTAATTATAGTGCCTGGCACATAGTAAATCACCAATAAATGTTGTCAATTACAAGTTGGATTTGGAGTAGAAACAGTGTTGCATAAAGTCAAGGACATAGTAGGAATAAGATACCTGGTTTGAAGCCTTAGCTCTTGCACTAACCTGCCTTGTGACTCTGGGTAGTTTAGTGTGATCTATAAAGTGGTACTTTAGGTTACGATAGCACTCAGCTGAGATGAATTTTGTAAAATTCAAGAAGCAAACAAACAAAGGAGCTGGTACCTGTAATGCTTAGCTTGGTTTCTGGCATATGCGCATGTCTGATTCACAAAGTGGAGACTCCCGGACGTTGTGCGGGCAGAGCTGCTACACCTGTGTCGCTCAACCAGCCCGTCCTTGTTCACTGAACACTTGCACTGAGCCAGACAGTGAAGGAGGCGTTGCAGGAAGAATGGGTGAACACCAGGGAGACAGTCTTTATCTACGTGTAGCCTTCGGGGAGAGTATTAGCAAAAAATGGATAAGTAAAACAAAATAATTGACACCTGCTATATATGCTAAGAAGTAACTAGTAAAAACAGACACAAAATAATAAAAGGAATTTCTTGGTTAGGCAGTCAAGAAAGTCTAAGTCTACATTTCAAGTGAAGGCCTCAAAGAAAAGAGATGAGCTGTGAAAATTTGGGGTGATGGCAGGCATTCCAGGAAAGTGGAATAGCATCTGCAAAGGTTGTGAGTGGCAAGGCCTTGCCCAGAGGTGCAGAAGCATCCAGGTAAGGAGAGAGAGCTGCCAGATATGACAGAGTGACGGGCAGGACCCAGCTCAGGCAGGCCTGATCCGCCATGGTGAGGGGCGTAGGTTTTCTTCTGTTTGCAATGATAAGTCAGGGAAGGGTTTTTATAGCAGCAAGTAAATGATATTTCATATGCTCTGGAAAGACTACTTTTGCTGCTTTGTAGGTCAAAGCACCTACAAAGTGCCTTCACTGACCATGCATTGGCTTCACTGACCATGCACACAAATCAGCATGTGGCTCCAGATGTTCATAAATACAATACCCTCCCTCTCTCTCTACACACACACACACACACACACACACACCATATATATGTTTATTAGTGATAGCACATTAACAAGGCCACTGTTTTCTTCCTGCACACAATGAATTCTCCGTGGTACCATCTGGGTACCTGTATTCCGTTTTGACGATGATCAGCGTAGCGCAGAGGTGACTTGGAGGACAGCAGTTGGGGAGCAGGGAGAGCTGTCAAGGGGTTGTCGTGTTAGTCCAGGTGAGGGAAGATGGTGACTGGACCAAGGGGGTTGCACAGTTTTCATACACACAACCAGAAGGCTCCTTACTGGAATTACAGATCCATGTTCTCTACTGGCCTTTCACATCAACTGTTTTTCTAATAAATGACCCATTCTTAGTGTGTTGTATTAATAAAACCTATTAGGGTGCTTAGTGGCCTGTTGGAATGAAAAACCCTTGAAACAGACTAACCCACTTCTCCCCATTATTAGCCTGTTTCTTCAAGTCTTCTGGGAAAAGAAGATAGTTTAGGGAATTTCTGGCACTTTCTCTTGACTGAAGTCATGGGGATGAGAACTATAAGATATAAAATGAATTTATAAAAAAATACAATAATACTTGGAGCCAGTTCCATCAAATGAATAATTAAATCGGGTAGTAAAAAAATGCCCACCCTCTATGAATTCTCAGCGAATGGGCTGCAAATGCTTTCACTTTAGAGGGGTCACTGTAAGAGATGCATGTTAATGGCAGTTGTAAACTCTTCGGGAAGAGAAATTTTTGAAACCAAACAATCTTAATTTTGCAATACTAGATTGAGAGTAGAAAATTAGAATCTTCTGGGGTTTTTTTTTTTGTTTGCATTTCACTTTTTCCCGTTCTCTAGTTGACTCTTGAATCCGGTTTTCCTCTCTAGGAGGAATTCTCATGCACTTACCCAGACTGGAAAGCAGGTTAGCAGGGCTTGGAAAGAAATCATTAAACAAATGGTCCTGCAAAGCTCTGAAAACATTTCTGAGGAGAGGAAAACAGCTGTCCTGGGCTTTGCCAAAGACCACTTGCAGTTTGGGAAGGAGGGAGGGCCTCTTGTTCTCCTCTCCTCCATCCAGAAGCCACAGCCTGCCAGATGTACTCCTCTTACAGGAGGGTGCAGGTGTGGGCAGTAAAGGCACTTTGGGGAGATACGGTCTGTGTCACCTTTAATGACAAAGAGGAACTGAGCTCCTTTGTCCTTCTAAGCCTGCCCTCCTTGGATTGATCATAAGAACAGTAATTTAAATTTTTTTTGTAACACATCTCAGGCTTGGATTGCTACAATAGCAATTCCTCTTGGACAATATAAAAAAAGGTTATCATTAATTGAAGAATAATTACCACTCTGTTACTTTCCAGTTGATCCCATTGCAAACTCAGAATTCAGATTTTTGAGTAAGGGTTACCTTTACAAATGCAAAAATGGGCAAAGCCGTAATTTTGGAAATTGTACTCTTTTGCTGTGGTATTCATTTATTTGATCAGCAAATATTCATTGACTAACTTAATCGTTTCCACGTGAAAGGAAATGTTATTAGACACTTGAAGAGTACAAAGAAATATGAAGGTATTTCATCCCTTAGAAGCAAACTTTCTATTTCAAAAAGGCTTGGATATTGAGAAGTTCTTTGTACTTTTCAAAGCCCATCCACCTACTATAAATCTTCATCTGAACTTTTGAACAGTAGCAGGGGAACTAGGTTGGGCAGACATTATAATCCTACAATTACAGGATTTTAGGAATGGGAGAAATTTTAAAGGTCATCTAATACAACCACTTAACTTTAAATTGTAGGAAAGCCAGAGAGTGAGCCCCTACGGCAGACTAGTGGCGGAGCATCTAGACAGAGCAGGGTTGCTGACAAAAACCTAAAGCCACGTGTGAGGAGCTCTGCACTGGGCACGAGAGACAGGCAGAAAGAGCACCGCGCCTCCTTTCCTCTATTCATTTACGTAGAGGCAGATCGTAGATTCACAATAAGTATTTATTGGATTAACGAGCTACATATCTTACCCCGTAGGGCAGGGTCAAGCACTGAGGATAAACTGATGAACAAAATAACCTGGTCACTTCCTCCAAGTTGCACACAATTTGGTCTTACTGTCCTCAGTGAGTTTGCAATCTCTTAGGAAAGCCAAGTCACATGCCCACAAAATGCAGGGGAGATTGGGTTCCAACACAGTGAATGCTTTCCGAGATCAGGAAAGGAATCTAAGCGCGATAATTGATGGAAATCCTCGCCCCTCCCCCCGCCCATCCTTTAATTACATCATTCTCTGCGGAGGCCTTTCCGGGATCTCCCCCAGGCCTGGACACAGATTGTGCTCAAGGTAAGGTCAAGATGCCAACTCACGGAGACTAAGGGAAAAATCAGGAGCCCAAACACCCCTGTTTTCTAAACTGGAAAAGACCTGGGTGAGGACCGGGGGGGAAAACAGCCACAGAGACTGACAGAAACCACAAAACTGGAATAGGAAGTCCCCACCGCGGGGACCACTCCGCGAGCTCCGGGCTGGCCGCCCCCACCGGAGGCGCGCGCGGGCTCACAGCAGAGCCCAGCGGGCGGCCGCGCGGGCGCAGATCGGGGGGCGGAGAGGAGCGGGCGGCGGCAGCGCCGGCGAGCCCACGGGGAGGGTCGGAAGCGCATCCAGTCCCCGCAGCAGCCACCCGCGCACAGAGCAGCTCGAGAGCGGGACACCGCGCGGAGAGCCCCGGCAGCGCCCGCCCTCCTTCCCGCGTCGCTTGCCAGCGCGCCAGCGCCCGCTCCGCCCGAGACTTCAGTTCTGCTCCACCCCCGCGTGGCGGCGGCTCGCTCGGTCCGAACCCGCGCTCCGCACCAGCCCAGCCTGGGCGAGCGGCGGCCACCTGCCCGGCGCCGCCTCCGCCCGCCCCACCGCCGCCCAACTTGGATGGAGTTGGGGTCCTGAGCGCCTGTCCTCCACCGCCGGACAGCGGGGAGCCCCGCGCCGACGCCTCCGGTTCGGGACGCCCTCCCCGCTGCTCTCCGCTCCGCGATGGGAAAAGTTGCTGCCGGCGGCGGCTCCCCAGCCGGGCTGAGCGCGCTCTTCGCCGGCGCGGGGCTCTTGCTCTTCTGCGCCTCGGGCGCCTGCGGCAGCGGCTCCGGCTGCCCCCACCTGCACCCCAGCTCCGGCCCACGCTGGGCTCCGACCGCAGGGGCCTTTTTTCACCAGGGGCCGCGAGGCAAGTCTCCTGCCACGCCCCCGTCCCTCCTTGGTCGCCCACTGTTCGCAGTGGCCCCCGGAGACCGAGCTCTGCCCCTGGAGCGGGCCCCGGCCACCGGAGCATCCGTGGCGGTTGCTCCACGCTCTGGCCGGAGGAGACGGAGTGGAGCGGATCCGGAGAAGGCAGAACAAGGAGAGGGCTCGAGTAGAAGCCCCCGGGGCGTGCTCAGGGACGGTGGTCTGCAGCGGCCTGGGACTCCGGAGCGGGACCCGGACAAAGCCACTCGCTTCCGGATGGAGGAGCTGAAACTGACCAGCACCACGTTCGCGCTGACGGGCGACTCGGCACACAACCAAGCTATGGTCCACTGGTCTGGCCACAACAGCAGCGTGAGTAGAATGGGACTGAGGGCAAAGGGGTGCAAGATGTGATCCGATAGAGAATTTGGAGAAATGGGTTTTCTGGACTGGAAAGTCCAGTCTTGCCTGTTACCTTCCCCCTTCCCATCCCCGGAGTTAATGATACCTACCTACTAGGTAGGGGACTCCCCCCACCTCCCGCGCAAAAAAATCATTCGAGTCCTCTCCAAACCCCAAACAAAGATTTGAACAGCAGACAAATCCCCGTTTCCTGCTTCTAGGGTCGCATTGGTGCAGTACCATGAATCTGAAGACCAGTGGGAGGGGGTTGAATAAAGTATTCTGAATGTGGAGATGACAGGGTTAAAATGCCAGGGAGGCTGACATTCCCCCAAGTGACTTCCTCCTTACTTGCTAGACTTATGGATGAGTGCAAGGAAAATCAACAAGACTTTATTTGAGGATTTTTCTTTTATTTCTATGCAGAGCTACTAGCCCCCTCTTCCTTACACGGGGAAGAGAAATGCCATAGATAAGGTATGCCTTGATGTCTTCTCTGTTTCTGGAGACCGACCTGTGCATGCAAGTTTCAGGATGGGAACTCTCCAGCATTTCCTCCCAGCACCAAGCCCGTGTGTGTTGAGAGCCGGGCTTTTCAGCCTGTGAATGAGTGGTTGTTCTCTGGCATGATCGGTCCCAGGAAGATCAGATATATCCCAGGGACAACAACGCCCTGTTCTCCTTCGTTGCCTGACCTCCTCTGGTGAAGAGCATAAATAAAGACTTAGCCCCCCTTTATGAAGGGAGCAGAGGGGTGTCTTGGTTCCAGGAGGCTGACCCTGGGGAGAGCGCTGGCCAAGTCAGGGAGAAGCCTGCCTTCCTGGAACCCGAGGTAGCAAGTGATTCCAGTCCACACTGCACCTGGAAACTTCAATGAGCTGGAATAGTAAAGAGCCAGCTTTGATGGTAACAACGGAAGGCGATTTAAAAGTGTGCAGACCTCTCTAGGCTGCTGTTGAAGCAGACACGATCTTTAAGAAGATGGTAAAAACTGAGATGGGTACAATGAAAGGAAATAAGTCAAAGTTTCAGCTTCCATCAGGTTTTGCAATTGTAGTGTTTCTAATGCATCTCTGCAGCTTGATACCTTTCAAACTGTTTTCAGTTGTGGTGTAATTGCCAGAAACCTCCCCAGGGAAGTGCTGGTTTAGCCAGTTGTGCTCATTGTCAGCTTTTTAATGAAAGTTGTGAACATTTAAAAATAACAGCGTGTCATGATGGAGTCCTTGGGTGCATACATATACCGTGCTTTAAGGCAAACCCTGATCAATAGTATTTTGTATTGATGTCTCTGTTCTGAGAGCACCAGCAGGGTATTCCCTATGATTTAGCTCTCATGATGGAGGATGTGGTTTTGATGTGGTTCTCAGGACAGGTTTAATCAAATAATGGAAGCTGACTTCATTTCATTCAAGTTCTAGAGACCCTTGCCCTCATTCCTTACCTTAACTATTATACTTTTCATATCATAACTACTAAAATTAATCACCCAGTGTGAACTTGAAGCTTGTTAAACTAATTGAATAACTTTTGCATTGCTTAAGTGATTAGTTCAAAGCTTCTGGATTTTAGGGGATATTTTAAACACATCAGATGTATTAGATCCATTGTATCAAGGAGTAAAGGACTTTGGACTCAAAGTATTTCTGGCTTTTAGTGTAATTCAAGCTGTAAAATATCACTCACCCATTAGACCTCTCCTTTAGTTCGTCTCTTGAAAGATCTTGGAAAGAGAGAGAAAAGGAGAGTACATCTTTGGCAAATTTTGCACTCCATTTAAGAAATGGCGCCAAACACTGCCAGATTTTTTTTAATGGTGCTTATAAGCCCAGTAGGGCTTATTGGGGCCAGCACTTGGAGGGACAACATGCAGAGAAATCTGAGATGATGTAGGGAATATTCGAAGTGGTCTGTGCTAAAAAGTTTGGGCACTCGGATCATGTTAACTAATAATGAGATGTCTACGCTCTTAAGTCACTTATTTTTGTAAGGATACCCTTCCCACGCCCTCATCCCTGCCTGCTTACACACATTTTTTTAAAAGTGTATATGTACAGGTGGTAGAAGAAGAGAACTCCAAAACAAAGCTGACCCAGATCATAGGTGAGACAAAGTTTCAAATATTTTTACAGGGGAGAAAGGTAGAAAGAAACGTTTTTTTTTTCTTTTGCCCAACTTTACGACATGCAAAGTAGAATAGAGACCTGAGTTCAGGTGCTGCTCATTTGTGTTTGTGTTTTTACAAAACAGGGCACCGTGACTGTAACAGGGCATCGTGGGGTACACCTGTTTGGAACTCTCATTCCCCCCCCCCCGAATTAGAAATCCAATAACCTAATCCTGAAGACAGCGTGGGGGGTTGGGTCCTGGCGGCCCTCATTTTTTCGCTTTTAGTGGTCTTCCCTTCTGCATGCTCTGATGCATTCAAGGCCGCAGGTGATACTCATCCTGGGAACTCATCTTACATTCAGCTAAAAGCCATGGTAAGTAGGGCTGTTCCGATGACAATAATACGTGCATTAAAGGTGTAAATGTATGGTAATTCTAGGCTGCCTGTCAAACCTGTGGGAAATTCCAGGTGGTTCTCTCACCTCTTTTCCTGCCGCCTGCCCTCTCCAGCTGTTGGACTTGTGCAGTTGGGTAAAAACAGGACTGTTTTGCCTCATCTGTGGGTGTGATGTGATTCCTCTGTACTGCAGTCTGGCTCATTGGAGACTGTTGCTAGAGTTGGTGGAACACCTGGGGGGATCTTCTGGCATGAAAGGTGCTGGGTATGAATCATTTGTCATGAGCTTCATGTCATAAGCAAGAACATATTGTTCCTACCCTACTCATCGCAGGCATGCTGTGCCCTGATCTAAATTTATACGGTATCCTTAGTTTGTTAAAATATATATTTGTCTGTGTATGTATGTGTGATGGGGCATGTGTTTATTTCTTATTTCCAAAGAATTTCAAAGTGCCACACTTATTATTAATCCTTAGAAAACCCTTGTTAGGTAATAGGTGGCAAGTGTTTATACCTCTTTCAAATTTTTATGCTGGAATCAGTTTGAATAGTTCAATTCACCACCACCATGTCCCCTTCTGCTAGAAATAGTGTTGTAATATTTGTTAACAGAGGCTTTTACTTGACGTATTTGGCCATTATGAAATCTGTAATGCTGCAGTTATCATTGAGCATGGCAGTCTGGTTGGTTCTCCTACCTATTTTCCTTCGCTTCTTCTGGAACTGGAAATTTACCATCCACCCTTAGTGAATAAACTGAGTTGAGTCCCATCTTGGGTCAGGCATTTGGGTGTGCATTCCATCATCTCACTTAATTTTCCTAAAAAAAAAAAACAAGTTGTTACATAGACGAGGAGACTGAGGCTTTTTTAGGATTTGCCAAAGGGTACAAACGGTCAAGGACTTGCCAAGAGGATACAAAAGGTCAGTGGCAAAGCCAGGGACTAGCCGCCAGAGTGACCTGACCCCAAAACCCCACTGAATGATTTGTCTTAAAGACCTGAGGGCAGGATAGAAAAACTCAGACATTTTAGAGTCTGTATGTAAACAACCCTATCTTGGGTGGATTCCAGGTGATGGGGGAGGAGGCATAGTCTGAGCAGGAAGCTCCAAGTTCTTGTAGAAAAGCGGGGACTATAAAATGCGCCTGTCACATACACTCTACCTTAAGTAGTGATTTGGTTGTTCTCTTATCCACCCACCTCGTCATCTTCAGTGAGACACAGAGTCTGCAACCTGTGATTCATTGAGCACGTGGTAACCTGCCGTCGTTCAGCCTTCAGATCTAGTGTTCTTCAGGAATAGATCCCTTTTCTAAGTTAATTACATATCTGATTTTATAGAGTGGTTGGTTATGATCATTTGGTTTGGCTACACATTTTGACATAGGTTTTCTTGAGCTTTTTAAAAAATTGTTGTTCAGTTATAGATGTCCCACCTTTTTCCCCATTGCTCACTCCTCCCCCATCCTCCCCCAGTCCTACAGTAAATCCTTCCCCATTGTTCCTGCCCAGGAGTCCTCTATTTGTGTTCCTTTGCTTGCTCCCTCCTCCCCTGTTATCCACATTCCTTCTCCCCTCTGGTCACTGTCAGTTTGTTCTTTATTTTCATGTCTCTGGTTCTCTTTTGCTTATTTGTTTTGCTGATTAGGTTCTGCTTATAGGTGAGATCATATGGTATTTGTGTTTCACCGCCTGGCTTATTTCACTCAGCATAATGCTTTCCAGTTCCATCCATGCTGTTGTGAAGGATAGGAGTTCCTTCTTTCTTTCTTCTGTGTAGTATTCCATTTTAGAAATGTACCAATTTTTTGATCCACTCATTTACTGATGGGCACCTGGGCTGTTTCCAGCACTTGGCTGTTGTAAATTGTGCTGCTATGAACATTGATTGGGGTGCATAGGTTCTTCTGAATTGTTGATTCAGGATTCTCAGGGTATAGTCCCAGCAATGGGATCACTGGATCGAAAGGCAGGTCCATCTTTAATGTCTTGAGGAAATTCCATACTGTTTTCCACAGTGGCTGCACCAGTCTGCATTCCCACCAACAGTGCACTAGGGTTCCCTTTTCTCCACAGCCTCACCAGCACTTGTTGTTTGTTGATTCATTAATGATGGCCATTCAGACAGGTGTAAAGTGGATCTGTTTTTAAAAGTATAATGATAAAAGACTTTAGCTTTCTCTAGAAGGCCACATAATTCCTTCTCTGGTCAGTGCTTTATGATATTAATGAATGTGAGTATAGGACCACATGGACAGCAATGGGTTTGGAAGCAGATTTGCATTTGAATATTAGCTCTCCTGCTTATCACCACTTTGCCTTGAGCAAGACACTTAGATTCTTTGAGCTTTCATCTCCTGAACTAAAATATGGGGTATTACATCTTTTTTGCAGGCCTTTTCCTGAAGATTTGACTTGTGTATGAAGTGGCTGGTACATAGTAAGTGCTCAAAAGATGC